GGTTTAACCTCTGTAGTAGGTTCTGTAGTTATGGTAAGCTCCAGGTCCAGAGGTTGAAATGTGGCTTGAGTCAGGTGTGAATGCTGGTTCTGAACCTGGTCTGGATGTGGAAGTGTCACCTTAGGATGCTTTGGAGGAACTATAGTCTTCTTCAGGGGTATAGAATGTCCCACCTCCGTAGTGGGTTCTGGAGTGAGGGTAAGTCCCAGGTCCAAAGGTGGAACTGTAACGCTGGGTGACATTGGATGCTGAGCTTGATCCTGACCTGGTGTTGGAATTGTTACCTCTTGATATACTAGAAGTTGGGGTACAACTTTCTTAGGAGGCTGAGTTGGGGTCTCCTGTATGGTTGGAGAAAGTTCAACCTCCATAGTGGGTTCTGGAATGATGGTAAGCCCCAGGTCCAAAGGTTGAACTGTGACACTGGGCAATATTGAATGCTGAGCTTGATCCTGGCCTGGTGTTGGAACTGTCACCTCATAATGAGCTGCAGGTTGAGCTGCAACCTCCTTAGGTGGCTCTGGAAGCTGAGCTGGGACCATTTGCTGGCTTGAAGATTCTACCTCCTTAGGGAGCTCTGGAGTCTGAACCGTAGCCTCCTGCTGGGTCAGAGAAGGTTCTGCCTCCACAGGGGGCTCTGGAATCTGAGCTGGAACCTCCTCCTGAGTTAGAGATGGTTCCACCTCCTGAGGGAACTCTGGAGGCAAAAATGAGACCATCTGCTGGGTCAGAGAGGGTTCTATCACCATATGGGGCTCTGAAGACTAAGCAGAAATTGCCTGCTAGACTGGAGAGGATTCTACCTCTTTAGGTGGCTCTAAAAGCCGAGTTGGGGCCTGCTGTAGGACTGGAGATAGCTTAACCATCTCAGGTGGCTCTGATGGCTGAGCTGCTATCTCCCATTGCAGTGGAGGACTGATCTCTTCAGTGCACTTCGTGGGATGACCTGAGGCTTCCTGCTGGGTTGCAGATGGTTCAGCCTCCTTAGGGGGCTTTGGTGGCTCAGCTGGGAACTCTTGCTGGACTGGAGAAGGCTCTACCTCCTTAGGGAAATCTGAAGTCTGAGCTGTGGCCTCTTGCTGGACTGGAGATTCAGTCTTTTCAGGAGAATGCAGAGGTGGGGAAGGGAGGTCAGGCTGGGCTAGAGAAAAGTCAGCCTCTTCAATAGGAATAGGAGGGTTGTCCTGCTGGACTGGAGAAGGTTCAACCTCCATAGTGACTGCTGTAAGTAGGGTAAGCTCCATATCCACATTTTTAACAGTGGTATTAGGCAAAGTTGAATTACTTCTGAATATTGAAGATAGATTTAGAGGTGAAAATATCATCTCATCATTCGATGAACTTTCAAAGTCTGAGGAGAGCTGAGTTGGAGGCTGAGTTGTGGGCTCTTGATGGATTGAACTAGGTTCATCATTTTCAGGGTTATTTAGCTGCTGAATTATAATCTCTTGCTGGTGTTTCAAATGTTGAAACTGCTCAGGGGACATTAAGGGCTGAGCTGGAGCCCCCTGTTGGGTTAACATTGCAACCTGATTAGTGAAATCTGGAGTCATGGTAACCACGTGATCCACAGGTTTAACAGTGACATTGTGAAATGTTGGAGGTCGAACTTGATCACAATTTAGAGGGGAAACTGTTACCTCCTGATGCTCTGGAGGTTGAGCTACAACTACATTAGGGAGCTCTGGAGTCTGAGCTGGGGCCTCCTGCTGGATTAGAGAAGACTCAACCTCCTCAGGGGTCTGTGGATGTTCAACTGCAGCCTTCTGCTGGGTTGGAAAGGGGTTCTCATTATTAACAGGTTCTGAAGATTGAACTGAAGTCTCCTGTTGAATTGCTGAAGGTCCAGCCTCTTCCAATGACTCTGGAAGCAGAGGTGGGCCCCCGTGCTGGATGGTGGGACGTTCTGCATCATTACCTGGCCCTGAGAGCTGAGCTGTAGCCTCCTGGAGGACTGGAGAAGTTCCCACCTCTGCAGTAGGCTCTGTTGCTATGGTGAGCTGCACATCTGGAGGCTTCACAGTGACATTGGGCAAATCTGAATGCTGAGCTTGATGGTGACCTGGAGGTGAAACTGTGACTTCATGATGTTCTGAGGGCTGAGCTGGGGTCTCCTGCTGGGCTGGAGAAGACTCAACCTCCCCAGAAGACTCAGAAGGCTGAGCTGGCTGCTCCTGCTCACTGGGGGAAAGTTCAGCCTCTATAGGAGGACCTGGAGGCCCAGTTGCGGCCTCCTGTTGGCTTGCAGAAGGTTTCACCTTTTCTGGAGGCTGAGTTGGGGCCTCCTGCTGGGCTTCGGTAGATTCTGCCTCCTTGGTAGGCTCTGAAGTTATGGTAACCTCCATATCTGCAGGTTTAACTGTAATGTTGGGGAAGTTATAATAAGCTTGATCCTCACCTGGAGGTTGAAGTATACCTCATGATTCAGTAGAGTTTGAGCTAGACTCTCCATAGAGGACTCTGGAGGCTGAGCTGGGGCCTCCTGCTGGGTCTGATAAGGTTCAACCCCCCCAGGAAACTCAGAAGGCTGAGCTGGCTGCTTCTGCTCACTGGGGGAAGGTTCAGCCTCTACAGGAGGACCTGGAGGCTCAGCTGGGGTCCCTTGCTGGGTTACAGAGGGTTTCGTCTCCTCAGGGTACTCTAGTGTCTGAGCTAGGGCCTCTAATTGGGTTGAGGAAAAGTCCACCTCCTCGGGGTGCTCTGGAGGCTGAGCAGCGGCCTGTTCCTGGCTTGATGTAAGTTCCTTACCTGGCTCTGGAGTTACCACAAGCTCCACATCCACAGGTTTGACTGTGACACTGGGCAAGCATGAGTGCTGAGTTTCACTCTAACTTTTCAATGGAACATTTACCTCATGATGTAACGTTAGCAAGCTTCCGATGCTGAGCTAGATCTTTTTTCGTGTTCTTGGGCGAAACAATAAACTTGTCTGCTTTTGAATCCTTACTGTCTAGAGGTGGAGCAAGTATTTCATCTGCCTGATGATCTGCAGCCTGATCTAGATCTGCAGTTTGAACCTTACTTTTGAGGTGAGGAGGCTGAACTAGGGTCTGGTTCTGATCCCAGTCCAGCATTGGAACCACCTCCATAGTGGGTTCTGGAGTGATGGTAAGTCACAGGTCCAAAGGTTGAACTGTAACGCTGGGTGACATTGGATGCTGAGCATTGGAACCACCTTTGGGAGCCTTTCTTGTCCAGTCTGTCTATCATTTAGATTCTGGTGTGCAGCCAAGAACTGCTCTGGCTGGGGGGCGGGGCAGCTCTCCAGCTGAATCCATGTCCAGGAACCGAACCAAATTCTCAGTCAATTTCTGGGGTGGGGCTGACATCTGCGAGGAAGCAGAGGACCCCAGGTAATCAAAGCCCCCGGTTCTGCCAGGGGAGTAAGTGCATGGGGAGATTCCCATGGGAGATAGGATGAGCCGGAAGACCAGGGCTCAGTCGGCCGCAGGGGGTTAGAGGTCCTTGATCCACTCCAGAGACTAAGCCTCCTTGACTAGTAGCCACAATAGTTGCCATGTGAAGAGGGGCCATGGGCCCCAGAAACGCAGCTGGGACATGACACTCCTGCACTGAGCGGGAGCCTTTCTGGCAGCCCTGAGACAAACCTGACAAACGCGCGCCCCGCCCCATCCTTTATGACACCTTTATTTACGCCACCTTTACTAGGCTCGGTCCAGATCTGTCCATGTCACCAGGGCGATCTTATGTCACAATCCCGCCCAACGTCCCCTTCCCACCCTGGCCCCGCCGGAACACCCCTCCCCTTCCCTTATCGAGGAAGGATTTGGGCCGCAGACCTGGGTGGTCCCAGGACTCCAGCAGCCTGTGGTGGTGGGGTGGGGTGGGGTGGGGTGGGGTCGAGGCTGAGCTTTCCAAGGAAGTCACAGGACCTCCCCTCAGGATCTTCAGAAGTGCTAGTCCGGCTCTGGCAGCCTGAACTCTTCCTCCTCCAAGGTGAAATCCGAGAATACTCTTCCTTCCAGGGAGAGCAACTGACCTGCAAAATGGCCGCCAGTTCGGGTGGCAGGCACGAGGCACATTACAGTCATTTATTCCAAAATGTTGCCATTTTCGCTAAACTTTCAGTATCTTTTGTTGCACGTTTGATAATGAATTCACCACCCTACTAGGTAGGGCTGCCAGGGAATAAGCAAGGACTCCACATTTTCTGTAGGAGGGGTGTTGGGGGTGGGCAATTCAGTCTGGGAGAGAAGGCTTTAATCTGAGTGAAGAGCCCTTTGCACTGGCCTGGGAGGAGGCTGAACTGTCATCCTGCCTTGACTCAACACAGCCATTACCCTAGAAGTTACAGCGCCACCCTTCAGAGATCTACCCTGTGTGCACACATGGAGAAGAGGCTTAGGCTGTTAAAGTCAACATGTTAAATAATGTCCTGAAATGCGACTGTAATTAGAACACAGCTGACTTCCCCCACAGCCATTCTTACATATTTTATTACTGTCTGGCACAATTACCAGCATGTAAACTCCAAGAAGGTGCTTCATCTTACTCCAGTGCCTAGCAGAGGCATAAGGTGCATAGTAATGGTTTTAAAGTGGAAGGGATTCCAAGATTCACTTCATTTAGGGATGGATCTATTGTTATAATCAGATTTCTGAAATCAGTGCTGACTTCCTCTCACATTTCACAGGAAGCGAGACTTCTTAAAGCTTGAGGTTTTCTTGGTGGGTTTTATTTAAATTGAATTAAAATATTTATTTTACAGGGAAAACCTTCAAAATAAAACACTTTGCAACTTTGGGGTGAAAGTTAAATAAAACACTCTAGCTCCAGATTAAGTTATCACTGAAATGAAACACTTTTGCTCCTTATTTTTAAAAAAAAAAAAAGAACATTTCATATGTAGTAAATAACGATTGTTTTCTTTTGAGATTAATTTAGAAACTTAATCCCTATTTAAGAGCTTTCATATGCAGTTATGCGTTGTCTGCCATGTGAGGAGCTTGAGAAAAGTGTCATTAGGTGATTTTACCATTGTGCTAACATCATAGCATATACTTACACAAACCTAGGTGGTGTAGCCTACAGCACACCTAGGCTATATGGGATGGCCTAGGACTCCTAGGCTACAAACCTGTACCATATGTTACTGTTGTTAGGTTTTGAAGAAAAAGCAAGGGTTAAAGAAAGACACACACACAGAAAGAGGTCAGCTCAACAGCAAATGCAGGTTTTACGTCCAGCATAAACCCTACAGAAGTGGGAGACTAGCCTAATGCCAGAGCCTACCACTGCTTACAGGCTGGGGCAATGGATAGGTAAGGGGCAGAGGGGTCTGGGCAGTAGGGCTTGCTGCCTGGCAGGACACCGATGAGATGTTCCCATCGTGAGGTGGTTCTGGCCCTTGTTCCAGCAGGATGTCATCATGGTGTTCCTTGGATCTTTGTCCAGCAAGATATGACAAGGATGTTTCTTTTTTTTTTTTTTTTTTGAGATGGAGTCTCACTCTGTCACCCAGGCTGGAGTGCAGTGGCGTGATCTCGGCCCACTGCACCTTCCCCTCCCAGGTCCAAGCGATTCTCCTACCTCAGCCTCCTGAGTAGCTGGGATTACAGGCGCGCACCACCATACCCAGCTAATTTTTGTGTTTTCAGTAGAGATGGGGTTTCGCCATGTTGGCCAGGCTGATCTCGAACTCCTGACCTCAAGTGATCTGCCCGCCTCAGCCTCCGGCAATGCTGGGATTACAGGTGTGAGCGGCCGTGCCAGGCCAGGGATGTTTCTTTAGTTGGGCTTTGTCTGCCCTGTGGTCAGGTGGTTAGGTAGGATGTTTCTCACCGCCTGAACCTCTGTGAAATGTTTCACTTTGACTGAGGTCTGCAAAATAGCAGGGAGCTTACAACATGGTACAGTTTGGACTAACATTTTTGCCTTTTACTTTAATATAAAAGGAAGAGGGGTGTTGCTGATTGGCTGCTTCCTTCTGAATAGGGGCGCTGTACTCAGCATTTGGGTTTCAAAGCAGTGGGCATTCCACTTCAGAGCTGTTTTCCTTGAGGTGCTGATACTGGACTTGGTGGAGGAGAATGATAGTATTCATGTGTTTCTGGGTGGTTGCCTGAACAACGGAGTTCAGCCTTTGGGAGATAAAGCAGGATATGAAGGTGAGTACACATGGGTCAACTGTTAGTATTAGGAGGCAGAAAATTAGGGGTCCTCCAACCGGCTATCCTGGTACCAAGTGTAGCAGAGATGTTTAGTCCTGCTAACGGGAATGAAGCGTACAGCCCGCTTGCTGTGTGGGGTCGGGGGAGGAAATAGGCATTACTAAAGGAACCTGAATCTGAATAGTTTGGTTGTTAGGCAAAATGTTAATGTTTGGAGATTGAAACACTAGGGTGCATGTTCCTGACCAAGTGCAGCCTAGGGAATTCTGGCACTCTCTAGATGTCAGAGGTCATAATCAAGGATGACGCCTTTAGTTAGACAAACCAACTTTGAGCCTCTACTTTATACTATAGGGGAGTCCCAGACAAGAACACAGCTTGAGCTGGGCGTGGTGGCTCACACCTATAATCCCAACACTCTGGGAGGCTGAGGTGGGTGGACACTTGAGGTCAGGAGTTCGAGACCAGCCTGGCCAACATGGTGAAACCCTGTCTCTACTAAAAATACAAATATTAGCCAGGCATGGTGGCCCGCGCCTGTAGTCCCAGCTACTCAGGAGGCTGAGGCAGAAGAATTGCTTGAACCTGGGAGGCAGAGGTTACAGTGAGCAGAGATCGTGACACTGCACTCCAGCCTGGACCACACAGTGAGGCTCTGTCTCAAAAACAAGTAGTAATAATAATAATGTGTTATATATCATATCATATGACATATAATGTAGCTATGATGATATAACAATCATAGCTATTATTCTTAAAATGGCATATGAGGCAGGTCTTGAAGGATATAAAGCTTCATTGGCCAAAATTTCCATCACTCCCTGCTTGTTCTCCCCTCTGTCAGTCTGCTGCCACCAGGGAGGTCCAATTTCTGAAACACAGGAATTGTGTGAGCAGAAGTCACCGTTCATACCAGCCCTCAGTGTGAGGAGGAGGACATTTGAGGGCAAGGTAGCTGCAGCCCCCAAGCTGCCCTCCACACTGGAAGCCAGTCAAGGTGTGGCCTCTTCAGCTACAGTTGACATCCAGTTCTGCTCTGGACCTGCGAAGGCTCTGAGGGCTTCCTGCCAGGCTGCAGGGAGGGGTTTGGGTGTAGACCTGGTGGACTGGAAAATTACCCATTTGCCCCCAGATTAATGATTAACGGGTCCCTGCCCTCACCCTGTCTGGGAGAGGAGCCCAGGGCCAGGCTGGCCAGGGGGAGCCCGATAGCATCTGTCTCTGCTCGGAGGTTTCGGAGATATGCTCCATGGTGAGCTGACTGCACCTGATGAGTGTGGAATCTATGGGTGATTTCTGAGGGCACCTGGGGCCTGGCCAGGCCACATACCCTCCAGTGAGGCTTCCAACTCCTGGGGCATACAGAGAGGGCGTGGCATCCAGTCAGACGTCCTGATTAAGGCAGGTGGCTCCAAACAGGAAAGCTGTGTCCTTGTCTCAGAGGAACGTGGGCTTCTCTGACCACTCCTGGCTTGACCACAGGACTTACCTTGACCAGTGGCACATCAGCAACATAAGTGCCACATCTAAGCAGGATGTGGCACCTTAAGAGCTACTGCAGCCAGGCGCGGTGGCTCACACCTGTAAGCCCAGCAATTTGGGAGGCCAAGGCAGGTGGATGACAAGGTCAGATTGAGACCATCCTGGCCAACATGGTGAAATCCCATCTCTACTAAAAATACAAAAATTAACCGGGCATGGTGGCACGCACCTGTAGTCCCAGCTACTCGGGAGACTGAGGGAGGAGAATCATTTGAACCTAAGGTTCAAGTGGAGGCAGAGGTTGCAGTTAGTGGAGATCGAGCCACTGAACTCCAGCCTGGCAACAGAGCAAGAGTCCGTCTCAAATGAACAAACAAACAAACGAAAGGAGCCGTTGCCTGGCTCTACCTTTGCTTTTCTTTTCTCTTTTTTTTTTTTTTTTTTTTTTTTGAGACAGGGTTTCACTCCGTTGCTTAGGCTGGCGTTCAGCCACATAATCTCTGCTCACTGCAGCCTCCACCTCCTGGGCTCAAACTATCCTCCTGCCTCAGCCTCCCAAGTACCTGGGACTACAGGTTTGTGCCACCATGCCTGGCTAATTTTCGTATTTTTAGTAGAGATGGGGTTTCGCTATGTTGTCTAGGTTGGTCTCAAACTCCTGGACTCAAGCAATCATCCTGCCTTGGCCTCCCAAAGTGCTGGGATTATAGGTGTGAGCCACTGCACCCAGCCTACCTTAGCTCTTTTACCCTGGCTATG